TCTGTATCAGCAGCTTGTGCATTACATGCATTGATTTCTCTTACAGTTTGATCTTTACAGTATTGTACAAATCATTAAATGCCTGCTCTTTCACATATTGATCCTGTCTAGCAATTAGTTTCTTGGCTTGTTTTCAGTGAGCTGTGCATTTAAGCTAAAAGCTAATGTCTGCTGGTTGCTGGCAGGCAAGACCTTGTAGGGTTAAGCTTTTAAATTCCTGCTTTCCTTGTCCTTGGTACTCCTTGCAAACCATGTTTTGCCACTTGGTGGCACTAACGTGCTTTTGTTAGTCCAAGTGTTGTTTAAAAACAGGTTTGTAAGGCTGTTTTGTTCCTTTAGACTTTGAAACTGTAGCAGATTTGTATGAAATTCTCCTCTGCATTTTAACAGTGGGTTTTGACATGAGTCTCTCAGAAAACAGAGATAAATCGTAGAAACAGTTTGGTAATTCCAGAAACTGATCCAATGCAGCAGAGAACTGTCCTAGGGAGAAAATTACATTACCTTCAGAAAAGGGAATGCTGGATATGAATTTGGGCGTCTCCTTCAGCATGTTGTATTTGCCACATGCAGTGTTTGTCAGCAGCCATCAAGGTATTTCATCTACAGTGTCACAGATGTGCAAAGTGGACCCAGAGATGCATTCTTTGTGTCAAGGCAACGAAGTACCAGATTGCTTAATTTTCTGAGCTAAAAGCATCCAAAGCTCTGAAGCCTGTTCTTTTCTTGGTCAGAGGTCTTCAAAAGTTTTCACATTAAAATAAGATATCTGGGTTTTGTCTTTTATTTTTCAGATCTTGCATGATATTGTTCCTTCTCATGAGCTAATGATAGATTTTAATACCATGCTTCAAAAATCAAGTAAGTCTTTACTTTTCTTCATTTCATTTATGCTGATTTCAAAAAACTATTCTGAATTATCCTACAGACTTCTCTTTGCTTTTTAAAGTAGTTTTGTTTCTTAAGAAATAATCCCAAAAAAATACATCAAATCCCAGCTTCCCAATTACCATAATCTCTTAGTTGGATGTATGAGCAGTCATTTACAAACTTGTGTAAATAAATGCCTTTTTTTATTTTAAAGGCTGAACAAAGCAAATTGTTGTAAGGCACAGGCAGGATCTCAAAAACAATTTTTTTAGACACCCTACTTCGAATTCCAAGGTCTTCATTCCATTTTTGGGATCTCTGTTTTATTTATTTTTTTTTTCCCCTTGGAATATATCTATTCCTTCGTTTATTGTTAATGATCAAACAACAAAATTTTCCTTCTCTTTAAAGAAGCATTATCTTCAAGCTGGTAGAAAGGTCTTCCAGTCTGAAGACTATTTTTTTTCCGTGCTGATCAATTGTATTCCAGGCTCTCTGTCTTCTTGTGGCTTGGTGTGTCCCTGCAGGTCAACAGATTGGTGAACTGTACATTAATGAGATTGTTCTCTCTTCTGATGTGATATGGCTTAATAGCTTCAAATTGACAAGGGAAGATTTAGAATAGATTTCGTGAGGAAATTCTTGATTGTCAGGGTGGTGAGGCACTCACAGAGGTTGTCCAGAGAAGCTGTGGATGCCCCATCCCTGGAAGTGTTCAAGGCCGGGACAGATGGGGCTCTGAGCAACCTGCTCTAGTGGAAGGTGTCCCTGTCCATGCAGGTGGTTGGAACTTGATGATTTTTAAGGTCTTCTCCAACCCAAACCATTCTGTGATTCTTCTTTGAGTGGGTGGAAAAAGGGAACTTTTGTCTGAAACATCCCTTTTTCAGTTCATATGTGACACATTTGCCAGCTTTTCATAACTGATGAGAACAAACTTTTTAAAGTTGGAATTTTAAAAGAAATTTATACCAATAAACATAACTTATGTTTAAAGTAGCAGCATTTGTGGGGAGAGAGTGGAGAACTGTATTTCACTTGTGCTTTCCTAATGAGTTCATCCTGATCTGTGTAATTTATTAATCAGCCTCATCTTTTTGCAGAGAAAAGAAGAAAACGTCGACTGGGCCTAGAAGTTATTTTTGCAGGCTTGGATTATGCTGGCTGGAAAGAAAATGAAAAAGCATGGAGCTGTTTGGCAAGACAGGTGAAACAAATTGTAATGTAAGTAGCTGTGATGCAATGTGTTGAAACAAATGTGTCAAGTCTCCACCTTTGGGCAGTCCACATGGTGACCCTCTGTGCTCTAACTTTGCCTTTATTTCTACCTTTCAAACACAACTTCAGAATATCTTGAAATATACTGGGCATCTCGGTCATTGTATGGGAATGTCACTTCCCTGTTGCAGATAGTTTTATAGAATGCTTAAACAGTTTGGGTAGGAAGGGACCTTAAAGATCACCTTGTTCCAGCCCCCTGCCATGGGCAGGGACAGCTCCCACTGGAGCAGTGTAGTGGGCTGTCCATGGCTGGATGCCAGGCATCCACCAAAGCTGCTCTATCCATCCCCTCTGCAACTGGATGGGGAGAGAAAATACAGCAGAGTGTTCATGGGCTGGGAGAAGGACAGGGAGAGACCACTCACCAAATACAAATACTAGATTGGGCAAAACAGACCCAGGGCCTCACCATCAGAGTGAAAACTTTCTTCCTAATATCTAAACTAAACCTGTTGTTTGCCAATTTAAAACTGTTCCTGACCCAGGGCCTTACCATCAGAGTGAAGAATTTCTTCCTAATATATTATCTAAACCTCCTTGTTCTGTTTCTCCCTGCCCTTGCAAAAATTCCCTCTTCATGTTTCTTGCAGGCTCCATTGAGGGGCTGGAAGAAGTTTGTGTTGCTGAAATGCTTGGTTTAAGGGCCTTATTGCCTAACAGAGTAACTGTTTGGGATGAGTTAGTCTTTGAGTATGCCTGGAGTAACACAAACCTTTCCTAAGGACAAAGCAACCCCTTCATACTACTTATTTATTGACAAACCTGGAGAAACTTCCATACTACTACTGACAAACTGGCACATGAGTGAAAGGCTTGCTTCATTTCGCACCATAATCTGTGCTATTGCCAAGGCTTAGTAAGACTGCTTGAGTTCACTTCCAGCCTCACAAGTGTTTCCAGGGATTAAAAAAATCATTAGTTTTATACAAAGATGCTTGTATTAGTGTTTTGGTATAAAGTCAGTGTGTCTATATTGGCAGTTTAGGAGATTCGTAGCAAGATGACTATAATATTTGCTGTCTCCTAATAATCTTTCCATTACACTTTAACCACTTCTGTAACTTTTTTAACCTTTTTCTAGCTCTGAGAAGCATCTTGACTGGATCAAGCAGGAGTGGAACTCCAGGAAGGACTGGTGGCCAGCCTTCCATTTTAGCCGTTACTTGGCAAAAAGGAATTGGCAGGAAAATAAAAACCTTTCATATGAAAAAGCTCTTGTGGCTGGAATCCTACTGGGAAAGGGTATATATATTTTTTTTAATTTTCACTACATAGAACAGAAATAATGACTAGTTCTAGTCCAAATGACATGGGATGCAGCTGATCTGCTGCCTGGAAGAAATGCAGTTTCTTCTAAAAAAGATTGTCTTTGGAGCTGAACATGAAAGGTATTTCAATTGGTTTGATATGGAACAGTGAGGCAACTGGTTTATTGTGGTTTAGAATTCATTTTTAACTGGCCTTGTTGAGCAGCCACAATACTATTTGTCTTCTTTGACCTTCAAACTATAACTCCAAAAGTGCATGACACCCCTCTCCTGAGGGAATATTGTGAGGAGTTTGCTTGCTGGATGCCAGCCTAGGCAGTGTCTCAGCAATAGTGGGTGTCACCTGGTCATTAAGGACCGTGGGGATGTTGTCATGCAGGACAGAGGAGGGAGGGTCTGAATGAAAAACATCATCAGTTTCGTAAGAAGATGAAAATCATTATCTCTTTAGTAGGATTATTTGAAATGCTGCCCAAAACCAAGGGGAGGATCAGGCCAAGAATCAGCTGCTAAATTGAATATGGTGTGGAGACAATGGCTTGTACACTGGTTTGGACTTGTGGTTGATGGGGAACAGGTTCACTTGTCAGCTTTTCTGTAACTTTTTCATCTGCAATTCATAGAAAAATTTCTTATGTTGGACGCTCTTAGGATATTTTTTTGTTTTGCTTTCAGTAGTATCAGCTATTTCTCTTTTATTTCCACATAAAAGCATTCCAGTTCAGATTTTCTTGAATTAAATTTCAGTACTTACTGGTGTCAATGTGAGCCTCTATTTTCCTTTCCAGCATAATAAATTAATGCATTATATCAATGCTGCTTTACACTCTTGAAATTTTACTTTCTGGTCTAATTTGCAGAGCAAAAATGAAAGAGAAAAACATAGTTTGCAAGATAACAGGCATTTAGATACATGTAGAAAGTTTGCTGGGCTAAGTAAGGATAGATTATTTAATGCTACAGTTATGTCTCTAATGAGCATGTCTTGGATTTTAATACCTTTAATTACTGCAAAGTTTTATAGCTGTTTGCATATTATTTAAACAACGAAAGCATTTTGTGCTTGCTTGTATCATGGTGTAACTTAGTGTTTATTTTTCTTTCCTTAGATTGCAAATACTTTAAATATGTATCACACCAAGGCTGCAAAGCTCAGCTGAAAAGGTTTCGGACGCTGAAGAAGTTTGTGACCAGGCACAATCCTGTCTACCTGAGAATATCTGGTCCTCCAGTTTCTTCTGTTCAGCCTTGATGAGAAGGTGTCCCTAAGGTTCTTGGTACTTTTTCCTCTCTGTAAAACTGACCTTTGTGTTGGTGTTACTCCAGAATCTCTAGGCAGACCCTATTGACTCATTACTAGACTTTTTAAAAAATGTATTTATGTAAAAACTCTTTGGTTTGTATTTATTTTATAATAAAATGAATATAAATCAACTGTTAATGTCAAAGAATTTCTGTAATGTTGTTCTCATATTTGTGTGAAATGCAAACACTGTTGATTTCAAATACATCTTGAAAGAGCAGAGGCACAGAAATACTGAGAAATTCTCTACCTGCTGGAAGACTTTTTTTTTTTTGCAGTCATGCCCATGAGTTGAAATATGCAGTGTTGCTGTGTTCAGAAAGCAATTGTTGATGTGTTATCACAAAACAGAAGTCCAGTTTGCTTGAAAACAATAACAAGATGGTTTCCAAATACTGTTTTATGTCTGTTTTAATGCCAGATCTATAGAATTCTGGAGAGTGAAGTGCTTGAACGTTCCTCTGGGATTGAAATACAGATGTCTTTAGGAGCAGGATAAGTACAGCTGTGCTTTTAAAAACTCAGTATTTATCTGGGATTTTGATCTGGGTTCTGTGAGAAGTGCCTTAAGACAATTTGCCTTAAACATTAAGTGAAATACTTGCTGTACCTACGTTTTGTTAAAGGCAATTACTCGTGATTTCCAACTGTAGTGCTCGTTCACTTCTGACTCCCTAAGAATGCTGCTGCCTCACTGTGTAGTAGCCAGAGGGTTGTGTTGGAGATCTTCTACTGGGTTTGGACTATTTTAGTTTAGATTGTGAAGTTTCAAAATGTTCTTCCCCAGCATCCCAGAAGGTGTCCCCCAGCCCTGGGAAGTGACCCCTCCTTAGGTGAGAGAGATGATCCAGACTTGCTCCCAGTGTCCATTTCAGTGGGATTCATGCCTGAACGTGGGCCTAAAGCTGTCCTGGTACAGCTCTGGCAGGCAACTAGGTGTCCCTTCCCTTCCAGAGACATGGTGTCCCTTCCCTAGAGTCTTTAATTTGGCTTCCTGCTTGCTATTGTGCCCCTCTGCTCCCCCAGACTTGCCAAGATGGACTTTGATGAGCTGGTGACTCTCCTGTGATGCCCCCTGAGAGCATCCCAGCAGGGTGTTACTTGGGCTTCCCCCTTCCATTACCTGTCTGTGTTCCTTTGTAGGTATGCATAGGAGCTTTTAGCATTAACTCAACACCAGCAGTATAAAAGCTGAATGCTGGAAGCCCTGGTGCTTGATGGGAGCTCCCATGTAATCTCCTTTTGTCCCCTCAGCTTCCTGTGGGAGATGTGTGTGCCTTGCAGCAGCTGCAAGACTCTGCTGAGGAAGAAATGTGAAACAAAGCATCAGAGGTTGGGGTGGAGATAAGGAGAGTGAGAGGATAAAGAGGAGCTTGGCATCTGAAAAATCTGCTAATCCATTGTGGTGCTCCCAGCTTTCTCCTGTGACCTCTGGAGTCAGGATTGCTGTGGGGGATCATGCCTTCTTCCAGGTGCTAGAACTATAATGTTGCAGTCAGCAAGTACAAGAGTACAGTCACAGCTTTTGTATAACTGTGCCAAGCGTTGCTCTTCCATGTCCTGCAAGAAACTTGCTGTCTCCTGACACCACAGTACTTGCACCTGAGACAAACCAGCAGATCACAAATCTGGAGTGAAATCTCTGTGCATGCTGTGTTTTCAAACCTGTGTTGTACTTTGAGTGGATTGGAATGGTCATCTTTGGCTTTGATTTGGTTTTCCTATCAATTTTCCTCCCCATCCTGTGGGCAAAGCTTCTCTGAGACAATTTTTTTTTATCATGCATGAAAGAAGTATCTCCTTTTCAATGTGACTGTGATCAAAGTTATTTTGTCCTGTTTATGGAAGAGCAAATTTAGGGAAGTGTTCTCCTCCAACACAGGCTGAGTACAATGTGTACAATAACCTGCATCCCTAGCTGATGGGAAGGGCTTGCTCAAGCATTATTCACCAGAGGGGAAAGTGTGCAAAGGTCTCATGCATTTTAAATCAGTTTAATGTCAGCTGAGATCAAACCCACAAAAATCGATTGGCTTAAGTACAGGATTACCACAGAATATCACAGTCAACTTGAGGTTTTGCTTGTGTCTTAAATGAATGTTTCCTCCTTCACTCCTTCTGAATTTCTTCTCATTTTAACCCTGAATGTATACCTGGATTTGTGGGTAACAGCAATATCTATGAAGTCACTTGTTCCTATGGTTAATTGCTGCCTTAACTTGATTGTATTTTATGACCCCTGTTCAGTCTTTATGAAACCTGGTCCAAGTTTGTTGCATTGCAATAGCTGAGAGAAATGGTAGTTAGGAACTGAAATTTGTTCACTTGTGTCTTGTAAAGATTATCAAGTTCTGTGTATAGATATCCCATCTCATGCTTTTATTATTCATATTTCTGGGTGAAGGATTTCTCAGACAATTTAACCTAAAATGTAGGGATTAGATTTGTGAGTGCTTCTAGGGACAGGAGAAATGTCCAGAGGGGAGCGCTAAGCCCTGTGACATGTGACATATCAAAGGCAGCCTGGAGGGTGTCTCTGCGGAGTAGTACATTTCAGAATGAAAGGAAAAGGGGAATGTAAGTCAGCCTCAGGGAATGCTGAGCTCCGGAGCTGGTGATCAGTAAAACAGAGAAGATGAATGAACCATGCTACAAAGAAGTCCAGCATTTCTATACATCTGACCTCAAGAAACCTTTGCAGAAGAAAATTAATGCTTGGCCACAGGCTGGAAAGAGCAGCAGCAGGTCTGAAGTTTCTTTTCCTTGCCCACATGTGTGTGTTTGCCTCTTCTTGTTTTGCCTGCTGAGCACTCTTGCTGGGAGCTCTTCCTCCGTGTCTGGATTATGGGCCGCCTTTCCAGGCCCCTTTGTCCTTGGAGTTCTGCTCTGCCTATAAAAACCTTGGAACTTTGGTTGCTGTGACCAGGAGAGAGACGAGCAAAATACTAGGACATCATGGATTACATGGATCCACAGGGGCATAAACTGTGTGGAACGTACATCAAAGATATCCTGTGTCAGGTAAGAAAGAAAAATAATAACTTCTTGAGAAGTTAGATCCAAAGCTAGGTAGTTAACTCAAACTATGTACCAAGGTGATGGGAACAGAACTTTAATCTTTTACTGCTCAAGGAGATTTCTGCCTTGAACAGCTTATCATCTGCCAGGAAGTGCATTAACTGTGAGTGACCAAACTGTAATATTTTCAACTAATATATATATATATGTGTGTGTGTGTGTGTGTGTGTGTGACCTTGCATAAACATCAAGAGCTTGAGCAGAATCTATTTATCAAAACAAATAAATCTTTGTTGTCTCTATGCTGCTCCTTAATGTGCCATAAGACCCTGTGCTTCTGAAGCTTTGTGTCCATCACTTCTAGAGCAGGACCAGACACTTACTCCCTTGGCTCTTAGGAATGTTTTCCTGCATTTTCCGGTACCCCTTGTTTGCTTTAGTCTGGATGGGGCTCTGTCAACTCTGCCTGGTCTGTTTGCACTTGGCAGGTGTGCCCAGGCTGTACAGAGCTCCTTGGAGACTGAGCAGGCTCTGGAGCACAGTCCTGGCACCTCCAGCTCCTGGAGTGACTCTGCTCTCCTCATGAACAGTAAAATCTCTTTTGCTTTTACTGCTGTTTATAGGATTTTTCCTGAGGATAGCTGGCTTCTCTGCTGAGCAGGGTGAATCCAGCATTCCCTGCCTCCTGCCCGCATGGCAGGAAGAGCGCTGGCACAGACAGCAAGCCACACAAACTGCTGCTTCCAAAACATTGCCAGGGCCACTGTCATGTGCCTGATGGCAACTCAGACTTCCCGAGGATGGCAGCAGTGCTGTTTGTCTCCACTTCGGCTTGCCTCTGCAGCAGTACTCTTTGAGACAGCAGAGTGGCACCAAATTCCTTCTGTCCTGAGCAGAGAGGAAATGAGAATGTAATTTTAAAATCAGAGAGGAGAGAGATGAAGGGAAAAAAAAACCCCTTACAACCCACCAGAAATCCCCACAATCAATGCCTGCAACCCTGCTTTCGTATCCTTTTTCAAAAAATTGAAATGGTGTAGAGGAAGCATTGGCTCTTGCCACTATCTGAAGGAGAATGGTAATCACAAGAAAATATGATGCCTTAGGTTATACTTCGCTTTGCTTGGTGCTGTCAAGCATGACAAATTGGAAGAACCTGCTCTTATTTGTCCTACAGCAGTTCCCTTGGTGGCTAACACAGGTGTGCTGTGGTTCTTTGTACCTCTCTTCCTGTCACTTAACGTGCAACATCTTACCTCAGGGAAAATGTGTTTGGTTGGTTTTTGTTTTGGTGCTTTTGTACTGTGGGAAGTTGTCAGGGGACAGAAGAGAGGAACACAGACACATTTCCCTCCCTCTGTGCCTGTTCCTCTGCTTTCTCACCCCTCTTGCTGCAGCACTGTTGTATCCAAAGAAAATCCCAGTGAGGGTCACATTCACCAGCTGCTGTTGGGACAGGGATTTTATGGCTTTCCAGCCCTGTGTCAGCCTCTTGAATTCTACCTGTGCTGCACTCCAGGTGCCTAAAATGCTTTCATGCCTCTTCCACCAAAGGCAAATGAGAACAGGGAATTGGTGTGTGCCTATGGAATAAATAAACTTCCCTAACAATCTCTCAGATGCCCTCATCTGCCTTTCTGTTTTCCAAAGAGAGCTCCACCAGGGAAGTGTAAATATAAGCCTGTTCCAGTGAAAACAAAGAGTAAGTGGATACCATTTCTTCCATGTGCAAGTAAGTTGTCAGGCTTTGATTTTAATGAGAAGCAAAACATATACATAAACTTACAGGCATGTGATTGAAAACTTCAGGAGTCTTAACAACACTGAGCAGGAGCAATCCTGAAGTTTGGTTATCACATTTAATGTGATATCAAACACAGCTTCTGCTGTCTACTTGATGCTGTGCCTTTGCTTAGCCCCAGTCCCTGATTTTTTTTTTTTTCCTAAGTTTTCAACCTTCATTTTTCTAAGCTGTGTTCTGTCTAAAAGTCCCATGCAGCTGGGGTAGGAGTTAACATCTTGAGTAGAAACCAGTGTTTAGCAAGTTGATATTATCTTGTCTGGGATTTCTAGATATTAGTGTATTATGAACAATTCATATTGTTAAGTCTGCTAGAGAAGTGTGCAAGGTTTCATTACATTCTGTCTGGAAGTAATTTTTCTTAAAGACACATTCATGATTTCTAAAACCAATAATTTTATTTCCAAGAAAAACAAGGGTCTTTTAGTGGAAGAAGAAAGGTTTATAGTGTGCATTTCTTTCATAATTTCAGCTGTTTTTCTTGACTGTAGCTCTAATAAGTGTTTTTATCAGTCATATCTCTGAATTAGCCTTTTGCCTCAAAGCAGGAAAGCTGAACCATGTTAATTACTTTCCTCAGTGACTGTCCTTGAGCTGCTAAACAAACCTTCAACAACCACGCCTCCAAAAAAATCATCTACCTCACTGCAGCCACCCCAAAAGTTTCTTCTAAGAAAGCAAAAAAGACCCCATCCACCAAAATAAAACCGTCAACAGCAAAAACAGATCCATCTGGTAAAGAGAGAAAGAGAGTCAAAGCTGAGGCTAAACCTCACAAAGGAAAGAAGAGTGGACATGACTCCAGAACTGCACCAGCACCACCTTTGCCAAAAAAGAAGAGCCCCCACCTAGCCAGAACAAGAGGTTCTTCCAAAGAAAGCAGCTCTAGATAAGGGAAAAGTGGAGAAGAGGAGGAAGAAGCAGCTTTTGAAGCTCAGTGATGTCCCAGAAAAAGCAAGTAGCCTATGAAATGATGAAACAAAAGTGTTGAATAGTGACCAAAAAAAAGAGATTTTGGCTGATGTGTTATCCAGTGCTCCCAGGCTTGCCCCTATTAATGGCAGTGTTAGCAATCTCTGTGTATGTTCTATTAAACATATTAAACTTTAACAGCACCCGCTTCCAAATCCTGCTGTGATGTCCTTTTCTGACAAAACTGGTTATGAGAGCCTATGATGGACATTCTCTGGTAAGATTTGGCTGTGTATGACTGTCTAATATATGCAAATAACTCTAAACTTCAGGTCTTTAATCTTCTATTGAAGAATATGGAATTGACATGTCAATTACCTCACCTTTTTTTTTTTTTTTCTTTTTTTTTCTTTTTTTTTTATATGATCTTTTTTTTAAGATGCTCAGGGCTGAAGCATGTCTCCTATGGGAGAATTGGGGTTGTTCAGCCTGGAAAAGAGAAGGCTCCAGGGAAATCTTATAGCAGCCTTCTGGTCCCTGAAGGAGGTCCACAAGAAAGCTGGAGATGGACTTTTTACAAGGGCAGGTAGTAACAGGACAAGGGGGAATGGCTTCAAACTGACAGAGGAGGGGATTTGATTAAATATTAGGAAGAAATTCTTCACTGTGAGGGCACTGAGGCGCTGGCAAAGGTTGCCCAGGGAAGTTGTGGATGTACCATCCTTGGAAATGTTCAATGCCAGGTTGGATGGGGCTCAGAGCAACGTGCTCCAGTGGAAGGCATCCCTGCCGATGGCACGGGCTTGGAATGTGATGATCTCTAAAGTCCCTTCCAGCCCATGTTATTCTATGAATATTTTTTTCAAGGTACGGATCACCTCCAGCTTTCGTAGGCTCCAGTAAGGGCTGGAAATGTTCTGAAACACCAACAATCAAATCACCAGAATCCAAGCAACCCCCCCAAAACCCCGCATTAGAGCCGAGCCATCCTGTGGGCTGGAACCATCCCGCGGCTCCGCATCCCACGCGGTGGAAGCGGCGCCCGTAGCAGCCCCCGATGTTCAGATGCGGGGAAATGATGGATTTGGGAAGCGCAGCCGGGACCGTCCTTGCCGAGCCCACGGCCTCAGTTTTGCAGCTCCGACGCTTCGTCCGTCTCCCACCGCCGCCCTCTGCAGGCGCCGTGCCGGGATGCAAAAGGCAGCGACCCCCGCCGCCCGCTCTTCGCGGAACGCCCCAGCTCGGTCGGGGAGAAACGAAAATAAAAACAACAAAAAAAGCAGGAAAACTTCAAGAGGCCCCAGCGAGGATCGAACTCGCGACCCCTGGTTTACAAGACCAGTGCTCTAACCACTGAGCTATGGAGCCACCTATCAGTTCCAGCCCTGCCGACGGCTCCTGTCCCTGTGCGGGGCGGCGCCGCGGCCTCCCTGCCCTCAGCCCGAGCTCCATGCCCTCAGCCCGGCCTCCCTGCCCTCAGCCCGGGCTCCATGCCCTCAGCCCGGGCCTCCCTGCCCTCATCCCATCAGCCCGGGCTCCATGCCCTCAGCCCGGCCTCCATGCCCTCAGCCCGGGCTCCCTGCCCTCAGCCCGGCCTCCATGCCCTCAGCCCGGGCTCCCTGCCCTCAGCCCGGGCTCCATGCCTTCAGCCCGGGCTCCATGCCCTCAGCCCCTCCTCAGCCCGAGCTCCCTGCCCTCAGCCCGGCCTCCCTGCCCTCAGCCCGGCCTCCCTGCCCTCAGCCCGGGCTCCATGCCCTCAGCCCGGCCTCCCTGCCCTCAGCTCGGGCTCCATGCCCTCAGCCCGGCCTCCCTGCCTTCAGCCCGGGCTCCATGCCCTCAGCCCGGCCTCCCTGCCTTCAGCCCGGGCTCCATGCCCTCAGCCCGGCCTGGGCCCGGGGCAGCCCCTCGGAGCGTCTGCGGCTCTCCCGGGCCCGAGCTGGGCCTCTGCATCCTCCGGGAATCCAGCTCCGAGGGTGACAGGGCGCCCTTCCCGCCTTGGAGTGAGGGCGGCCGTGCCTCGGAGAGCGGAGTTTCGGTGGCACAGGGGGATTGCTCCCAGGAGCGACCCCGCTTCTCCTGGACATCCCCAGGCTGGGAGCGAGGGAGCAGCCGCTGCCCGAGTCAGGGTTTGGGAGGCGAGGCTGCACGGCGCCTGGTTTCGTGTGGAGCGCGGAGAAAGTCACTTCGAGCAGGTGACAACTCAGCGTTATAATTCTCCTCAGCTTTTGTGAAATCACTGTTGCATAAAAGCTGGTTTAACTCTCGCAGATAAACCACACATCTCCTTTGACTGGGGTATGAACTCGACAGCAAGACAGGAAATGTGGAGCCTTCATTTTTTTTATTTTTACTGCGGAAGGTTGAAGGCTTTTGAGGCTTTTCTCCTTCTCTTTGCATAAAAGGAGCAGCCTGTCACACGCTCCGTGAAAGCTTAGGTGAAGGTGAGAAGGTGAGCTGTGCAGAGGAAGCAGAGAGACACCGCTGCGGAGTTATAAATCCGAGCCGCTCTGCTGTACACCCGTCACGTTCTAGAAAAGCACACATGATTTGCTGGGTGCAAACCTCAAGCTGCGTGTGACCAAAAGTAAAGCTCCTTGAAATGAGAGTAGACAGAAAAAGCTGCATTAAGGAGCTAAAGAACTTTCATCCATCCCACACTCCACAAATCATGAACTAGGTCAATTTCCTCTTTTCTTTTTTCCTTGAGTTTTATTTCACCTTCTCTTTAAATGGATATGATCTCTATGGACAAACTAGATCAGTTCTGGTGAACTCTGTCTTGTTGTTTATGTAAGGCACTAAAATTACTTTGAACTATCTGCTTTTGACCTCTAATGTGGCAGCTGATAAATTCATGAAGTTTCACGTTTCTTTGGATGTTTTTTTCCCCCTTTCCTTTGAAGATAGTGACTCTTTAGAGGGACTACAGCTTTTTGAAAGAGGGCTAAAATGTCTGTAGTGAGTGTTCTGCTAATGCCTCAGGAACTGAAGTATAAGCATAGATTATTTTATAACCTTCAAGTAGGCAGGAGCAGAACTGTCTTACACTTTTCATGCTGTAAGACAAGCCTACCTTCATCAGCCTAACACAGCTGAGCAGCAGGGTAGGTTGAATTCTGAGAGCAGAACAGTGTTGAAATAAGTTTTCTGTGATAACATGGCTACCTGCCACTATTGGGCTTTTAAGCTTAGGTGCAAATCTGTAACTGTTGTGATTGCCCTGCTTCCAGATGCCTTTTGCTGCCTGCTGAGAGCTCCCTGCAAGGTGGGCTGCACTTCAAGGGCTGTGTCAGAGAGTGTTTCTTAGTCAGACAGCCTGGGTGGGATTCAGGAGGTGTGGTGGTGGTACTAGGCTATCAGTAAGCCCCTTGGCTTCCCTTTGTAATGAAAATGAGGAAATGAGATACTTCTGGGATGTAATTCATCTCACCTGAAGGTAAACCTCTGCAAAAAGTCATCCGAGTCCTGGTCTAGAAGTGCCTGTTCCTTAGCTGGCTGTGAAGGGAGTCGATGCAGCCTCCATAGGAACTTCCCCAGCCTCTGTTATAAATGGTAATTTAGTGGCAATACCACAGCAGGTTATTTCTTACATTTTAAAAAATCTCGTTCTAGCTCATGTTTTGAACCCAATGTTTCAAAGTGGATCATTCCTGTGGAATATGAAGAACAATTATTTTTCTAAGGATTGATGGGTCAAAATTGCAGAATTACATCTAAAGAAGACTCTATGATTCTTTCTGCAGCTAGACCCACAAACATGTGAGAATTAAGAATTTAGGCAATAAAATACCTGTCTAGTCTGCTGTTCATGACTGTTGAAAGCCACTAGGTGGAACCTAAGGACTGCACCAAAAGATTAGGAAAATAATTTTAACAGACTTCAAATGCTGAAAAGAATGAATTTTTACTGCACAGGTTTTTAGGAAAGATCAGTAGGATGACTGACCTTTAAAGGTGTGCCAGACATCTAAAGATGCACCTTTATATATGCTCTCTAAAATTTCTTCTCTAGGCCCAGACCAAGCACCAAGCTAGAAAATAGGGTGGTTAGTGTAAGAATAGGTGTGGTCTTGCCCAGTCTGGACTAAGGCTGTTATTAAAAACTGGTTTATTTATTCCTGATTAGCTCCCTGACTGTCCCTCACAGCCCCACTGCACAAGTCAGTGTTTAACCCTGTGTAAAGCTGGTGTCAGCCCACAGATGTCACCATGCCCATCTTGTTAAGCACAGTGAACTAATCCCAAGCCCATTCCATGATTTTACTGCCATATCTTGCATCCAGGGGAAACTAAAGGAATGTCTCTTCAGACTGCTGGTCCAAGGAAATTCATGGAAATTCTCTTACACTACTGTATTCCCTCTCCAAACTCCTTTGTCTAGATTGCCACCCAGTTCTCTGCTGGGTTCAGTTTCCCTGGTGTTTCACAGGGTTTGGTTCTTTGTTGCACAAAGCAGCTTTGGGATGCAATAGAATGAAATAAATAGCAGCCAATGTTTCCTCTGCAGACCTGGTGTGTCTCCTAACAGGTTGTCAGGCTTGCCCACCTTTGTCCTCCACACATCTGACTCTGTGTCCTGAGGGAAGGCTGGTGCACCGGGGATTATCTCAGCAGAGGTACAGATCAGCAAAACTGGCACACTTGCCTTTCCTTAACCTCTGGGAGAAAGGATTTGCAACACAGCTTCAGTCTTCTGGTAAAATGGGACATTCTGTGGGTTTTAATTGTTTGTCAGGTTCAGCATTGTTGGTTTTCTTTCTTAAAGAAACTGTAGTAACCAAAATATGTCTGAGTTTAATGCAATTAATTTTAGTTGGCAAGTGCTGGTGGATTACTTTGTCTTCTGCACATACAAGGGTTTTTTTGAGTAAAATATTATCAGAGCACAAAAAATCAGGGAAACACTTCCTGCTGATTTTGGGTGGCTTTTAGAGGTAGTCCATGGGGTATTTTAGGCATGTAGTGATCTCAACACTTGGTTGAAGCCTGCCTTGTTTTCTGAATGTGAACCTTTTCAAGTCCTGTTTGACTGAGATGTGCCTCAGGAAGTGTCATGTGGTTTTGCAGTTTTGACCCAATCAAGCATTAGAAAAATCATTGTTTTCCACATTCTACAGGAATGATCCACTTGTCTTTGAAACATTGGCTATAAAACATGAGTTAGAATGAGATTTAAAAAAAAAAAAAAACAGAAGAAATAATTGCTGTGGTATTT